CATTTGTAAATCAAAGCCTCTCCGTGGTGGATATGGTGATGCGCTGCTTGATGAACGCTGTGCTGCTGGCTGTACCATGATGACTTTACCTGTGAAAAAAATGTTGAAACTTCTCTATCCGGACCTGGTTCGTGTGGACGAGTCTCTTGTAAAAGTAAGTATCTCGTGATTTCCATATTATTCTCAGATGGCTCGTGATTTTGTTCTGAAGCAAATCTTTCCAATTCTCAGATATCTCCTCAAACTGACGAGTCTGACAAAAAGAGGATCCCACTTACTGTAGAGAGCTTAGATACCAGAGGTCTTTATATCTTTGATGATGGTTTTCGGCTTGTTTTGTGGTTTGGTGGCTCTATTTCACCTGATATTGGTAGAAATTTGCTCGGTGAAGACTTTACTAGTGACTACTCAAAGGTGGGCTTCTTTTACTTCTCGTTTTGATATTTTCTTTTGCATCAAATTTTCACTTTGGTTTGCAGCTCCAATATCTGGTTACTGATTCTAAATCGGTTGTATCATCCAAATGGAGGTAAACCTACGTGTTTCAAGTAGGCACTTAGACACGCATGCTTGTTTGAACAGGCTAAATGCTTGGGAAATTGGTTAGATGGTTGTACTTACTGCAGCAAAACAGTTGGTTTCGAAGTTGGGATCCTGTTTTTATCATGGGATTACTGCAGCAAAACAGTTGCTTAGCTGATTCATGGGGATTATGTATCATAGTTGTTTTACTTACAACTCAGTAATTATGGAACAGTTTAATTATGCATCAATAATATGGTGTTTAGGGTAGGTTTTAATTCATGAATTGGTTACTAAATGGTTTCTCTGTGTTTTGCCGAATCCAGGTTAGCCTTTCTCTGCGAGACAACGAAATGTCAAGAAAGCTAATGAAGATAATTAATAAATTTAGGGAGAGCGATTCATCGTATTTTCAATTATGTCATCTCGTGAGGCAAGGTGAACAACCAAGAGAAAGTTTCTTCCTCCTCACAAATCTAGTGGATGACAAGAACAGTGGTGCATATAGTTATGCTGACTGGATTTCGCAACTATACCGACAAGTTCAACAAAATGCATAATCTTCAGGTACTCATCTTGTCGGATTTGAATTTTGTCATGTTAGCTACATGCCGAAAGATTTTTTCTCCTCCCATTTGGTTTTATGGAAGGGTCGTAATAAATGAATATCTTCTCTTTCAACATCTTTGTCTCTCATTTGGTGCATGCTGGATAAATCGGGCCACATGTTTTATGTAACTGTTGATCGGACAAGTTACAGTCTTTTGTGTTTCCCTTTAATTTTAATTTTACCGTATTAATAGTTTGATATCATGATTTTGAAGTTAGTTCAAGTTTCCGATTTCTTATGAGAATCTCTTTGTTTACGATACAGCTATAGTTTGCCTAGTCTTGTGAATCACAATTACAAATACGGAGATTATTATCTACCTAGCCTTGTTTTAGACTAGACATGTAACATCTATGACTGGATGCTTAACATTTCGTCGTATGACCTTTTTTATTGCTGAAAATACGAATAAGTTTCTTCTCTTATGAATTATCCATTTTTTGTAGGTAAATAATATTCTAATATATTATGCGAGCAAGGTGTTAGGTTCCAGTCAAAATCCATATTGCCAAGTTCATAACGTAAGGAGCGTGACTCTTCATGTGTTTACGTTGCAGAATTTCCAGATAATATGCTGTCTTTCTCCTGTTAAAAATGCTCGGTTTGGTGATTCACTGGATCACGAGTTAAAGGGGATTGAGAGATACGGCTTTTAAACGATTTCTTTATACATATTACTAATTGGGATAAAAAGTGACATAATATCTAATTTATGAGTAGTTCTTTTTGGTTTGAACTTCGATTTTTGGTTATAGCTTGTCATAATATTTGTTCGTGAATTTTAATCTCATTCTTCTTTTCTTAAGAGTTAATACTCATGATATGGATTCTTATTTGGGGCTGTATATATTTTAGATGTGGACCGGTAATTTCTCGACTCAACTTTAGCTGTTACTGGAGTGTTTCCTGTGCTAGGCCTCGTTTGGTTGGGTAGATTAACCATTATTAACTAAACAATTGGACTTTATTTTGATATTTTGTCTCCCTAATAACTTGCCGGGTCTGACCTGCAAATATTATGGTGTTATGGCTTATCTTGCCTTTTATGGTAATTTTTTGTTGGGCATCCCGGGGTCTGATAAAATAATTGGGTTTTCATTCAATTATTTAATTTTTTCTTGGGTAATCTTATCTTGCCAACCAAATGAGGCCTTAGACATCAAAAAATTCAGAGAAAAACGATAGAATTGTAAAAAGATAAATTCGTTTGAGCAGCATGGATTAACCTTTTGAAGTATATACAAAAGCTCCAAACAGGTCTAAACAGACATACCAAGAAACCTACAACATTTGTAGTTTGATCCACACACAAATTAATATCAAGAATTAATGGTAAAAAGAACCAATGCTAATATATATAATATCATAGTCGATTAAGATACACAAAGGAAACTCGATAAAAACCAAACGAACCTACACATAAAAGATAAGTTATCTCGCGTCGTGACACCATCAATAGGTGAAGCTGCCATATGATCTGATCTTCCCTTCTGTGTGCATGAAAGAGAAGTTAAGATCATGCTGGCAGCTTTATCTACTAACGGTGCACGGTTGCTCCATCCATGCATTATAAATATATTTTGAATGTATACTTTTCTGTTCGATTACTATGGTGTGGCGGTGGAAGGTGAACGTGGCCGGCAGAAATGATGGTGGTTAAAGTAGTGAAAACTTGGAAGGAAAATTGATGAATATATATGTAGATGTTTATGGTGAGAAGTGAGGAGGTTTTCGATTCTAATATTGAGTTCTGTTTGGTAGATATAAAATATATTATGGTATTAATTAATAGATTAATACTGCTTTATGAGGCAGCAGGGAAATGTGTACATAAACAAGTTGGATATTGTCACGCGGAAGAGCCACCACCATTCGAAGGCACGACGTGTGCGACTTCCTAAATTTGACTCGTGTTTCCTTTATTATGAACCGGGAACTAAAATTAGGTATAAGTCTCTAATATAGTGCTTCATGTTGGAAATGCATAAGCTGGATTCAAAGTATTGAATGTGGAAGCATACATGAACGTGTCTCTTGGTTTAGTTTTCAATGATTATGGTTCATTTATTGTGCTAGATACATGAAGGAAAATCCTATCTATGTAGGAGTTCATTTGTAGTGTGTCAAAACTAAAAGAAGAAATCTAGAGAGGAAAAAAAGAGTGCTTTTCAGTAACGTCTCTTCATATCTGGTGTTGATTGAGTGAGAATATAATTATAATTATTGGTAAACCGTTGCCTCGACACAAAGATCAAATCGGAGAGAGTGGAAGAACTTCCCTTGCACTTTACCTCCATCCTGGATCGCCGGGTACCCTCTCTCGTTTATGTAACTTGACCCCCTAAAAATGTTCCAAAATATGAACTGCCATAATCTACCGGTGATTGTAACTGCTATAATACTTGTGTGTCAGCCAACCTTCAAAGGAAAGAGGTCGAAAACTTGCTTAGCTTTTTTCCTCTGTCTTAATCAACTGTGTCCTGGCTCTGTCACTCTTTTTCCGCGGTAAATATGTGAGAAGTAATCAATATCTCGACATAAGTCAAGAGGCAGATATTGTGCCACTCCATCTTGTCGTATGAAATTGACGTGCAACTTGGCTCTCGAGACTCATTCACAGAATTCCAACAAGTTATCCCATTTCTCTAACGCCCACAAAAACGGAGTTGATGCTCTCACATCCATAGCATGAGTAGTTAAAGCAAGTGAATGATTTGAATTTTGAGTTTTTTGATGTTATCTCCACCCAATGGTGATTTCAAAAATTTGTTATAGGGTGAACTTAAATTTTCAGAGGAAGCGACCCTGGAATTTATTTTAAGATTCTTTGTTTTTTTTTTTGCATAAACTATGACATTATTAGAAAACAGAAAGAAGAAAAAGAAAATACAAATTTTAGAATTTTTTTTCATTAATTTAAGTTTTTGGTGGCTTAATCAAAATATATGTATAATATGATGATTTTTTTTTATAATTGAGGGGGGCTTTGACTGTCAACAGTACCCTATCCATATGGTAGACCCGTCAATGTCTCCACCACTCCTCTCAATTTTGATTTATTCATCTACAATTTAATTACTCTAGATTGTTAAATCGATCCAACAAAGTGAATTAGAGCCACATTTTAATAGTAATAACGATCACGACCACAAGTGGAACTTTTCCATTTTAAATGCCTGCAAAAGAGAACTATGATCGTTGAAGCATACAAATGAAAATTTTCCTTGGTCGACAAGATGTTTGCAAAGTGATTGACCAAAATATGTTGAATCAAAGAATTTAACTTCGTTATGCCAAGCCGAAATTAAGGCATTCAAAGAAGACAAGTTGAAAAATCAAACAAAGATCGCTGCCCGTCATCCAACTCAGAAGCTTGTGGGCCCATATGCGATTCCCCTCAGCGCTGCCTGCCGTCTGTCGGCTTTCTGGGGGTTTTTTTT